AACTATCACACCAGCACAGACATAAAATTGAGAAGAGGAAAAACTTAACAGCAGGCCCTTCGGACCCCGAGGACATGCTGGTCCTGGTGAGGCCACAGCGTGGATCCCGCACCCAGTTTGGGCCACCAGGGATGGGGGGAACTGGAGAGGGTCAGGGGAGGCTGACGTGGTGGTGATGGCCTGGGCACTGCCTGCGAGGAACAGTGGTGATCTAGTTTGGAGAGTCTAGTCTGGTCTAGTTTGGACAGTCTAGTTTGGTCTAGTTTAGTTTCAGCCAAACAGTTAATTAAGATTTCTTCCAGAAGGAACGAGGCTTCGCATGCAGCGAAGGTACCAAGTACTTGATTTGAGGCAAGTCCCACTGAAGACAACCACCTTGAAGGAGAGCAGAACGCATCTTACCTCCTCGAGCTTTTCTACCCGACCCACCAGCTTGGTTGTGACCGAGTGCAGCTTCAGAAGGTCCAAGCCATAAAAGGCACTTTCCAGCATCTCGACAATGGAGGACAGCTGCAAGGCAAAGGGAGCACACCGTCAGTCAGAGGCACTCGCTATAAAGTACCCTGTGTGGTTTCTACAGCCGAAAAGTCAAGGGCAACGCACGCATCTGAGCACAAGAAGTTTATTGAAACGCAAGTTTTTCCTTACACAGCCCTGCCACATTGCTACTGCAGCCAGGAGCACAGCGTGCAGAGCTTCAGGAGCATGTTTTGGGTGCTGGGGATTAGTAAGCAGAGCAAGAAGGAGCACTGCCCTCCTTGCCAGCTCTAGGCAGACTCTCTCACAAGCCCAAAGGCTTAGCTACCCCATCAGTGACGTGACTGGCAACAAAAGAGGCAACAAGAAAACGGCAGCTCAAATAAAAGTGAGTTTGACATCAGACTCTGAGTTTGTGCCATCCCATGCTTTTTTTTCCTGGAAGAAGAAGAAACTTGCTAAAAAAATTTTAAAACGTTGACAAATGCAAGAGTGAAGCAACTGAAATTCAGTGCCAGCCTGCTAACAGTTTGCTTCCCTGGAGAACAACTTTATCAGAGGGATGCTGCCTTCTCCTTCAATCACCCATTCCAGAGATGCCCTGTATTTAATTCACCTCCTTCCTGCAGCGGGAAGGGTTGCGTCCCCACGTCCTGCCCAGCACCCGCCCCTGCTCACCTATCCTGGGGATCCAGACAACAATACCCTCATTTGGCACTTCATATGGTTCCTGGTGCTCACTCCGCAGAGGACGGCACCGAGCCAGGCACGGGCTGGTGGGGAGAGCTCCCAGGCCATCCCCTGCCTCCGCTCCCGCATGTGCCTGCTCCCTCCAGTCCCACGTGTCTCCACACGTACAGCGTGGTACTGCAGACCTTACAGCCCTGACAGCTGAGAAGTATTTTCAATGCATGGGAATTACTACAAGGCGGTGACATTTTCTCCCAGCAGCTACAAACTGGTCAACAGAGCTCCATAAACATGGGAGAAGTACAGGCAGCACTGCTGGCAGCACTCTGAGTTTCCACGCCGGTCTCTGCACTCTCCCTGTGGAGCTGACAGCAAAGGAAAGATTTTTCTGGGCCAGATAAAATGGCAGCGTTAAGAGACAAGGACTGTTTTATGGCTATGCATCCACTTTCCACCGAGAACTGGACGGAGACGACCGATACAACACATGCAACCTGCCAGACAGCCACTGGAGACGTGCTTTCCCTCCAGGCTGGATAATTTCCATCAATGCACAAAGGTTGCAGACTTTATTAACCACCTTCTAAATCTTCCTAAACACAGACTCCCTGCACAGACTCTGCATCTGAGACCCCCAAAAAGCACGCCGTGCCTACAAGCAGAGGAGAAGCAAGCTGCAATTTCACAAAAATAGATCTTAGAGTCAGCTACCCCTACCAACACAAAGTTGACCCTCTCCAAAACACCATACTGATGCACATGTCAACTATTTCCTTCCCTTCACCCACTGCAGACCTTGGCTCTCACTGTCTGATGATCCATGCATTCCTATGGGACTTCATTAAAGGTACAGATGGGACCGAAACCTTCAGCTGGGATGCCCAGCGCAGCCATTCGGCACTGTGTTGGGGTGCCCCAGGCGTACCCCTGCTCCTGGGCTTATCTACTCCCTTCCTCGCCATTCCCTTGGGGACACATCCTCCAGCCCACCCATTGTAAGGGAGGGCTCTCATTTTGGGGAACTTCCCACGGCTCTCCCACAAACAGAGTACCCAGGGTTTTTGAGTCAGAGCATAAGAAAGCCTGTTAAAACACAACAGACAGAGCACAACTACACGTGTTCTGCTGCTGGACCAGGCAAGAACGACGCTTATCAGACCAGCAAGGAGAGTAAAATCCCTAGGACTGTTAGGAGCAATGAAGTGGCCTGGCCTGTCCCTCTCCCCCCCCCGAAGAGCGTGGGAGCTGCTCCTCATGAGTCACCTAAGAACCAGAATTGTGTCCTCTCCTGCCTCCCGGCTTCTCCTGTGAGAAGTTGCTGTTCCCAGTGCGCCAGACCCCAGGAGGGACTCCGTGCTCAGCAAGAAAGCAAGCCTGTTTTCACAGCTCCCGGGGTTTGACTTTTACAGCAAAGAAAATCCCCACGTGTGTCTATTTGGATAAACCTTGTGAAATCGTTTGGCCGCAGATCCTTGCGAAACGAGTGGGGAGCCTGGGCCAGTTCCTAGAGGACAAGCTTTCACACCACAGCTGGCTGTGAGCAGCTCCCCGGTGGGAAGAGGCAGCCAGAGCCAAGGGCGCCGCTAGCCACGCCGCTCTGCTCATCCTGGAGGCCGACCGGCTCCGGATAGGATGGGGAGAGAGGTGTGAGCTGCTGGTAGAGGAGCTCTGCCTGCCTCCGGGTGAAGGACTTCAGGGGTCGCTCTGTCACCCCGGAGGGTGTCCCCTTCCCCTAACTGCAGCTCCTCATCTAAGGCCAAGTGGCACATCCTGGTTTCTCCTGCAGACAAGGGACCACCAAACAACTCCAGGCTGGGACTCCTCCTTCCCTGAAATGATGGATTATCTGCCTGTGCCTGTTTATCTTCCCTGGCTGCAGGGGAGCTTGGACAAGAAGCTGCTAACTGTCTGCAGTCGGACAAGATGAAACACATCCTCAAGCTCCAAATTAATTAGAACAAACCCATTGTGATGGCCGTGGCAGGAGGCTGCCCCACAGCACCTCACACGATGCCTGCCTTCCCACCTGAGCTGGGACTAGCAGCACTGCCACGGGGTACGTCCTATCACCACCCACACGAGTGCCACCAGCACGTGACCTTCCACTCTGGAGACTCCCCAGGGCTGGACCAAGCCAGTGACCCTTTGGGGAGGATTTCTGCTGCCCTACCCAGGTAACAAACTGGAAAACTTCGTAGGGTCTGATGCCAGCTGCTAGACCAGCAAAAGTAAGTATCAATGAAAAGTCACAAGTACTTAGAACAAACACCGTCACATTTGGAAAAGAGGTACATATTACTAGAGATAAAATGCTAAATAGTATAGAAGGGTCAACATTTAAAACAACAAAACCCATCCTGCCATCAGCCAGCTGTGTAACACACCCTCATGCTGACGCACCAGTGGCTTTTGGCCCATGGAAACCAAAACAGCTTTTTGTGTGGGTCCTTGGGAGCTCCTCTCTGTGATGGGAACAAGACCTGGCAGCTGCTGAGCGAAGCAGAGCTGTCCCCCCGCGGACACTTAGCGCTGGACAAAGGGCAGGGAGCAGCCCAGTCCCTCCTGGGCTTCCAGCACAGGCAGCCACGGCGGACCCCAGGCTGCACGGGGTAAATCGGCAGCGTGCTGCTGAGTGAATCATCGACTGCAGCTGCTTGAATCAATCCCTTAAGCTAAGCCTGATTTTTACACAAGACATGCAGATATAAAAGTAACTATGGGATTTTTTTAGAAAAAAGTTTAGGAAAAAAGTTTTATAGAAAAAGGCTTCAGAAGATCTCCCCCTTCCAAAAGAGCCCCGAATTCAAGCTGCTCTCCTACCTTCAGGTCGCTGCTCTCTGCCTCCCGCAGCTTCTTCAGCCTGAAGTCCCCCTCGCAAGGATTGAGCGCCGAGGGGGGGGCCACACATGCACACTTGCAGCTGGGTCCTGACGTGATGGTTTCCACCGTGTAGAAGTCCTCCGCTTTGAAAGCACCTTCGTTAATCCTTTGGCAGGCGCCGCGGCCCAGGGGTCTGACCAGGCATTTGCACCGACAGTCGGAGCCTTCGGACACCGCCTTCACCTTGTCGTAGTCACCTAACAGCTGAGCACAGGTCACCAGCAGTTAGCGAACTTCTCGTCCTTGCTCGCCCAGCAAGGGACAAGGACACCCTGAACCTCAAGGTCCAGACAAGGACAGTTTGGACACCCTGAACCTCAAGGAAACTGGCCGTCTCTTCCAAAATCTGCTGACCAAGAAGTTTTCTAGGGACCGCAGAGCTTTTTGATCCCTACCTACAAGGGGAATAAAAACTGGCTTCTTCCAACAGGGTATTCTTTATTTACACAAAATGTAAATAAACTTATTACTTTATTTACACAAAGTGTACTTTGTGTAAAATGGACCTAACTGCTTTGAATTTTAAATACGAGAATTTTAAATACGAACCCCATCCTGCTGTCTTTTAATGCTACATGTCCAGTAGACCCAATAAGTCATCTGCTACCCCGAGCAAGATTTCTTTACACAGGCAAACAGGGTAAGGGTGTGCTGGAAGGGCAACTGAAAGCCACCCTATAAGCAGCGTAACCTGGTAGTGAAACAGTATTTCTGATTAGCCCCATACAATGCCAGGAATTTCCTTTACGGAGATTTGCAGACAGCGCTTCTGAAAGCCCAAGCACAAAAATAACTTTGATGGTATGTTTCCAATAGTCTCCACGTTAGCCATTTCCGAGGGCAGATAATAGCACACAGTCTGATCGGCCAAATCTAACAGAAACCTCCACCGCATCCCACT